ACGTCACCGATAGCCATTTGTGACAGACAATTGATATCAACCGGAAACACTCCTCCCAGTTGTTGTCAAATACCGTTGGACTAATCCTGCAGAACTAACCACAGGTCATGACCCCAAGCTCGAAATATGAGCAGCGGCGAACACCGGCATTGTTCCTTCCCTCGTACATGTATTTCCTGTCAATAATGATCATATGATTGACGGATCCGTTATAATATGATTGTACTGAAATACATGTACGAGGGAAAAACACTTTGCAGCTTTGCAGACTGATCTACACTGCGTGTTATAGTTATCTTAGTTCTGTTTTCTTGCCGAAACTCCTGGGCATCATCTCGTGAATCTATAAGGAAAATGTATTTTGGCAAACAGTTTTGGCAAAGTCTGGCGTGTTTTGTCATCGGAGGGATATTCACCGTCATATTTATAAAACTATTGAAGTGGCAAAGAGATTACAATAACGAAGAGCAGAGGGACAAACGAATACTCGTTCCTGTTCAAGAAGTCGGTGACGGGGAAAGAGAAGAGCCAATGGAAATTAGAAAGTTTCCTCGAGAACATGACGACTTTTAAGGTACTGATGACAAGTTTTATCAATTTTTATTTCATTTTTTAATTTTTTTTTCTGAAAAAAGTTGTTTTGCATGGTGTCTAACTGATCAGTTCAAACTTTCATGTCCGTATCATGTGTTAGAGGAAAAAAAGGGAAATCAAATCTTAAATATTATCGTACTCAAAAGGACCTTTCTGTCTTATTAATGTTTCTTTACGGTAGTAAAATATGCAGCTTTTGTTTAGCTGATTCGTTTCGGAGAACGATTTTTTAGCATACTACCGGTGCATATAATTAGTAAATAAATTAAATTTGTATGCAGATTTAGAGATCTGCTGACCGCAGCTTTCCCTTTGAAGATCATAAATAACTTTAAGGCACGTAAAATAACACAGTAAAATCGTGCAGTCTCAGTACAGTATCATCAGAATTGAGTTTCAGCACTTACGCGCGCGAACTTTCTGTTTACCTCGCAACAGCCGTCACGTGAGCCATTCTGACCAAGTAGGATCCATTAAAAGGCATGCAAGCAAGCCATAGTGACGAAACCGATGAAGTCAATAGAGCGTCAACCAAGTGACCAGGCTTCAGTTGCGCTGAACGTAGTGGTGCATTTGTGTCATAAAACATTACATACTAGGCTAAAAAATGGTACTGTAGTAAAAATGTAAAAACTGTGCTTTCTTGATGTAATAAAGTTGCTGATCATTTACTCGATTTTACGCGTTGGCTCTGTTTTGGCTGACTATCTTCGCCCTTTGTCTATCGGAGCTATCCTATACAACATGGTTAAAACACGCAAACGTCAAGTTTGGACTTCCAGGCCACTAACGAATGTCGCTCATGGGCACGGGTTGAGGTCGGGTTTTTCTCGTTCTGAATTCCGCTTTGTCAGAACGAGCTAGAACGGACCGCCTTAGTAATGTTGTTACCCACAGTTACAATAGGATTTAATTGTTTTTGCCTTCTGTGCCATGTATAATTATGTGTTCTGCGTATTCTTGACCTCCCTTGTAATTTAGTGTTACACACTACCAAAAGGGTTTAATAAACTGATTATTATTACCGGGGCCTAGCCGAAGGCTGGCACCGGTCATAAAATGTAACGCGTTTCTGTGTTTTCAAAGTTACATTGTTAGGGATATATCGCTGACTGAGATATATCGCTGGCTCGTTACTTTTGGGAGTGTTCGCTGAGATATATCGCTGGTTCAGAAATTTGAAGTAGGGAGCGACAACTGTAACCATGTAAATATTAATACTTATCAATAAATGAGATCCTGTCTATTGCAAAATATTGTTACAGTATTCATCCTAGCATGACAAAGCTTGGTCGACGTAGAACTGTGTACACTACGACAAAGCAAAAATCTTACCTTATTAAACTTGCATGCGCCAAGCTTTGTTTATGAGTTTCAATACCTTACAATTCGCACTCCCTACAGGAAACTTCGTCAAATATTTTCCCACAAACAATTAAAACTCATTAGGAGGAAGTCTATCACTGCTTTGACTTATGAAGCAACAAAACAAAATATTTTCAAATAACCTTTGTCACGCAATATTTACGTTAGCGAGATGCACAAATTCTCAACTGTTCAAAATGCGGGATTCCCTAACATTTTGTCTTTTCACATTATTCATTAGACGTTGATGTAGAATTTTTTATGTTTTTCTCCTTGGTATTCTTAGCCACTTTGGATTCTTGTTGCTAAGAAATATCTTATTATGTAATCGATCTGAACACGTGAGAAAAACTGCGTAACTTGACAGCCAAGGATTGGGAGTTGACTCATGTTAATGTATTGAACATGTGACCTTTGCTGCAACGCAGTCATTCGTTCGAACACACTCGCGATGCGAACAAATTACTTTTTCCCTCCTCCTCCCCTTGCCCTGAATACACAGTGTACACTACGACAAAACAAAAATCTTAACTTATTAAACTTGCATGCGCGAAACTTTGTTTGTGCGTTTCAATACCTTACAATTCGCACTCGCTACAGGAAACTTCGTCAAATATTGGCCGACAAATAATCAAGACTCATTACAAGAAAGTCTATCACTGCTTTAACTAATGAAAAACCAAAAAAGACTGTTTTACATAACCTTTGTCACGCAATATTTACGTTAGCGACATGTGAAAACTCTCACCTGTTCAAAATGGGGGATTCCCTAACATTTTCCCTTTTTTGACATTATTCATTACACCTTGTTTTCATCTTTAAAGAATATTTGCAATAAAAAAGATTTTCATGTCACCCGACAAACTTGTTGATGAAAACGAGCCTACCACGTGGGTTGCCAAGACAAAAGTGGCCCCGGTAAAATTCACGAAGTGATTCTTGTTAAGAAAGCTTTGAGCAGCGGAAAGGAGAGCACATTGTCAAGGTCTTGGGGTTTTAACAGAAGTAAGCTCTTCAAGTGAACAGGCTTTCTATTCTTTCTAGTGGCGGACAGGGGGAACAGAGGGCGAGAAAACGCTAGCTGTAAACTGAGCCCCTACCCCCTTTCCACACACGCTTGAGCCTGCTGACCAAGACGAAAGCGACTTTCCCGTTCGTGCACGAATGTCCTAATGTGATGTAATGGTTAGCACTGCGAGAAAAACTACTCCCACAACGACCACCTTAAAATGGGGACAGAGGTAAGTCGTTCTTATATGGAGTGGTATACTTTGTAGGGGCAGCCTGCGAGAGCAGTACCTTTTTTCGGCTCTTGTCTCACGTTGCCTACTTCACTTTTGTAAACAGTTGTGGCCCTTCGCCTCCTCTCCGCAGACTTTCAAACAAGCTCAATTTCTTTTTTTATTTATATCATAAATAATTAAAAACAAAGGCAAACAACTTACCATGTATTGGGAGGATTTGTTTACGGTCCATTTTATGCATTTTAAAAATCACCAACCCAACTTTCTTATCCTCTCCTTCTTACTTGTACAGAGCTTGGCTTAAACATTTCCTTTTGAAAACCAGTGAGTCTTGCGCCTAGCGGTAGTAGACTGTTCACAGTCCCCTATTTTTTCGTGAGATCGTTTAAATATACCACGTCGATTTTCAAATGTCAAACCGCCCCCGCCCGCTAAGTAGTCTTGACACTCATGCAAGATAGCAGCCCGTAACACATAGCGCTCGATCTCGACGATCTTACGGAAAAAATAGAGGACTGTGAACAGTCTAAGCGGTAGCAACTGAACTGTTTCCGATATTCCTTCCACATTAAGCATTATTCAAGTCGCCAAGAGCACTTCTCGTACCGGTTGCGTCTCATTCTTACTTGTAAACATCTCCTGCAGAGGTTTCCGCCAGCTCAATCCCGTCCGAAATATAAAGCTGCATGGCGCTCACAGTTTCAAAACTGCGCGCCATGTTGGACACATTCAACCTCGTTTCCAGGGTCCCTTCTCTTTGCCCTTAAAGCCTGGGACGAGAAGAATCTACCAAAATGTTCAAAATGGTTAAGTTTAACCCAGGATTAAGCCAAATTTTTAGCAAGGTTTTCTTTTCTAATAACATGTCACTTGAGCTTACAAAATACTATCAGATACTGTTGTGTCTTTACTTCGAAATTCAGTGATGGTAACACAGAATGTTACTCTAAGCAATGCATAGAAAGGTAAATACAAATTACAAATTGGATTAATGCTAATTGGGGACCCGGTTCCTGAAACGCCGATTAGCGCTAATCAGGATTAAAATTTTGTTCCATATTTGTATTTTACCTTCCTGTTTATTGCTTAGAGTAACATTTTGTGCTAACATTACTCAATACTGTATCTCAGAATAAAGGCTCAACAATACTTTGTAAGCTCGAGTTGCATGTTCTTAGAGAAAAAAAACCTTATTTACTTAAAATTTGGCTTAATCCTGGGTTAAAATTAACCATCTTTTGAGAAACAGGGCCCTGATCAATACAGCACATGGACAGCACATGTATGCATCATTCTTTCTTGAGGTAAGTAAGTGGCATTGTCCAGACTAGATTTTTTCAAGACGAAGCTGTGAAATCTGCGCAGCTCAGTACCTTCTAGGCTAGCAAAATAAGAGACTAATCCAAGTCAAAATAAAGCTCTTCATAGTGGATAAACGATTGATTTTGTTGACGTTTCTTTTCACATGCGCAAATGATTCACTTTTTTTTTTTTTACATTTTTTATGGTCCTCCCAGGGGGGGGGGGGGGGAGGAGGGCAGGCTCATTTCCCGAACAGCGGCTGATAATCGAGCCAAATGATCAATATTTTGACCAAAAGTGTAGAAAAGACACAGTTCACTAAGTACACAAAATACTTATTTATAGACTAAAGCAGTTTTTGAACAATAGTTATCTTTGCTAGTCCTTTGGATTGCTCACTAAATTCCAGACCCTGTCACATACGAACTTAATTAACCCCTAGAACACCTTAACATTAACAGCATTCGCATTAAAATATCTTTTTATTGCACACTTTTATAAACGGACCTCCCAACGAAAAAATTTACAACCACTTTTAGACTTGTTCTTGTCAGCATTTGCACCAGAAGTTGTTCTCCCGTGACCAAAAGAGCATGTAAAGAAAGCTCTTCCCTGATTAGGTCCCGGATTGATGACTGCTCTGCGCCAAGTACGACGCCCACAGTGACACAGGGGTGGGGTAATACCACCTCCATTGAAGCAAGCCACAGGGGTAGTAACGGGGGAGTTCACGTTCCCATTAAGGGGTGGGTTGAAAGAAGGAAATTTTCGTATTGGAGTAGTACATGGTTTGTTCAAGTATATTGAACTGGGAATGGTTACAACAGTCGCTGCTTTTGCCATTGGTTTGTTTATAGCTGTTATTCCAGTGTTATTCGAAGCTACTGTTATAGATTTATTATTTTTTAGTCCTTCTACCAAATGTCTCTCTTCGATTAAGCTATGGTTTGTTGGTAACCTGAACAGGGGCGTGTTTACATTCTGAGGTTCAATATTTGATGCTTTGCATGGTTGGTTGCAGGAAGTGCAATCCTTTTGTCCCGTTCCAGGAAATACTCGCTGATTATGGCTTCCCAAAGGTGTATGCTGATGGTAGCTCAGTGTCTGTTTAGCAAGACCTCTTTTCACAAGAAACCCTTGTGTTGAGCAGCTCTGCAATTCACTCTTAAACAAACCATCACAACATCCTCTTGCTCTTTTGTTCAGACTTGATAAGCACGTTGCAGGAGTTATAAGAGACTTGGAAGTTTTTTTGGGTGTGGCACAGACCCCATCGCAATTCCCAAAAGGAATGCCTTTACCAACAGAACTTACCGATGCTCTTCTTTTATTTTGGCCATTTGCTTCGCTGTTATTCCCACTCTTCACAGCTCCCCAAACAAGGCTTTTTTCCCTTAGATTTGTCATTTTATTTTCAGGACACTGGTCAGCTCTGGCTCCTGTCAGTTCCCTTTTTACAGTGATGCTCTGTCGTGTGCCATGTACATGTACATCGTGACACTCTTCTTGAGCCTTACCAAAGCTTAAGATTTCGCTTACATTTGTCTCTTCAGTACAGCTTTTAGACGGTTTAACGTGATGATTTGTCAATCTATTTCCAGGAATCTGGACTGATCTGGGTTCTTTTATCTCGCTTTTCACAGTGACCTCCTGTCTTGTGCCATTTCTGCATTGATTCTGTGCTTGAAAATCGCCAAAGTCTAAACTTTTGTTTACACTTGTTTCAACGGTACTGTTTTTAGACGGTCTAGTGTGATGTTTGTTATGAAGAACTTGCATATCTTCAGACATCAAATCACTCTGGTTACTGGTATGGAATTCCCCAGTACCGTTTGCTTTCAAATTATTTTGGGAAAGACCAGGTTTCATAGTTACAAGGTTCCAAAGTTTTTCCACTGCCTAGAACAACAAAATTAATAAAGTCGTAAGATTATGTTTGAGAAATAAGCAGTCTAAGAGATTTAATTAGCGGAATGATGCGAAGAGAAAGAGTTAACTCGCCACTGCTTGGCCCTCCATGCAGACCTTCTTCACGCGTGACGAACCCCTAAGAACATCTGTGTGGGAGGCTAGCCACTGCTGTAATTATTATGCAACCTTTAGTGTCATTTTTCTTCCCCGTTTATAACAAATTTCTTAAGACGAGCCCCTTCAAGATGACGTATGAAGCGAGGATCAGTGGATATAATAGGTCATTTGTACAAAAATCTGACAGTTCTTTTTTGATCTTTGTAAGAGAAAAAACAGGGAACGCTAGTCTTAATTTTATTTTTGGGAAATTTGCACTTTTAAGCTAGTTTGGGGAGGATAGCATAACAATTAAACAACTATGCATCATAAATTAATTTTATTGTTCACCATAGATTAAATTACAGTGTAAAAAAGTTCTACATTTTTGAAAAACTTTGGTCAGTTTAATTAATAAAGGGGGAGCAGTCTATTGTAACAATGCAACAAACTCTGCTTTGCTCGGATACCACTTAAGTTTATCTTTTCTATCGCTAACTTGCTCCGCATTGTCCGCAAAAATGTTTTTAATACTAATTCTGTACACTTCAGTGAAATCTTCGAGAATCACCTTTGACAGTTCGGTGAGTTACATACGGACTTATTTCCTTTTGTTATTGTCTATTGTGTATAATAATGGTACCTCATTTCTTCTATATGTTATATATTTTTTATTTACAATAAATTACTACAAGTAATACATGTATAATAATACACATGCAACGAATTTTCTAATAACTTAGCCAAAATGTCATTCCTTTTTAGCAAAGGAGCAATTATTATTTTTGTCTTATTTTTTTAGCTCAGTCTATGTTCTAGGTATATTCACCCCATCGGTGCTCTTTGTTATCTGCATGATGCATCCATCAGACACCATCCTCCATGCTAAGCGAGCTGTGTTTCGAGCATCATCCAGACCTTTAATAAATAAATAAACAAACTGAATAACAATTTAGAGGTACATCCTTCTGGTGGTTCCTCGTCTACCTGGTTTCTGGTTGCATTAGAAATTGGTAATGTTGGTTTTTGAGGATGGGGGAACTGGAGTGCCCAGGAAAAAACCTCTCTTGGAGCAAGGGAGAGAACCAACAACAAACTCAACCCACATTATGGTGTTAATGCTGGGATTAGAACCCAGGCCACAAGACTAGTTTATCCTAAGATGAGGAGACCCGACTCATTATAAGCCTCGTGGTTTCTTTCAGGTCTCCTCGCCATTTACTTTTTCTTTAATCGTATATTATTTCCATCTTGCGTTGTAAGATTTTGCATTTATGGCAAATAAAGAATGAATGAATGAATGAATGGGTGTCTCCCCCGTGGGCACATCAAGACACCACAGGCTGGAGACTGAGCCTACACATTGGTGGGAGGTGGGTGCTCCCACCACTGCACCACCGGCTTGCTCCCTATTGTCCACTTGTTGGACAAACCAACAAATGCAGGACAACTGTATTTTTCTATTTTAATTATTTTGTTTCCCTTGTTAGACCATTTCCAGTAGTTTATTTCACATCCAAATGAAAAAGTGTATTAAATCAGAAAGCAATGGAAACCTGTTTTTTTAAAAGAGTAATTAACAGTACCTGAATGTTCTCTACCAGCAAATTGAATCCCAAGGTCTTGAAGAGCCCCTGCTAGTCCTTGAGGCTTACGACTGTAAAAGTTCTGTAGAATCAATAAGGCAAAACTAAATAAATTATTTCATTTACAGAGAAAAACGTTATTTCTTTTAACTTAAAACATCATAGCAAACCAAAGAAAATTTGTCTCAATGCAAGTAGAGAAAGAATCTTTCGTGCAGTCTAGGATAGATCACTCATCAAGATTAGATGTCCTGCATCAAAATTAATGCATTATTCCTTGCAATTATTATTACAGGGTGACTAATATAAGACACGCTAGACATTTGGTTAATAATGCTACTCCTTTCTCAGTATTCATGGACTGAAGAGAACAGTGTTCTCCATCTTGCTGTTATTTACTACTGTTAAGTACTATGCACAAGTACAATACACTGTATGTACATGTTTATGCCATAAAGGGTTTCATTTATCGTTTGTCTCATGATAGTCACTTTGACCTTGATTGTGCCATTTCGACCACATACTGCAGGTTTTCATCTGGCAATATTGTTGATTTACTGAGTAGGACTATTTGTACCATTGTGCAATGTAGGCGATTATTGCATAAATACTTAAAATTATTTTTTTTCAAGATATTGTTAGCTGTCATACACTAGCTGGCTAACCAGTCACAAAACTCCTACTAGAGCATTTTATTGCAGGATAATTTGTCACTCTTAATTTTATTTAATCTAGGGACAAAAAAAGTCTTACGAGGTCTTAACATTCACCCCTTCTGCACTTTTAATCAGTCAACAGAACAAGCTGTCATGAGAAGACTGGAGGCAGCAATTTTCTAGTTTGCTCACTGCTAATTTTATAATATTTTTTTAACTCCCCTGTACAACCATCTTAAGGAACTACTAGCAGTGAACTTGTCCCTTAGGCACCATTGCACTCTACAAACCTTGTATGTTGCTCGCAGGTCAATCCAGCTTCTTAGGGGATGTGGCACTCTTAACTGCTTTCTGTAGCATTCATTCTTGAGACAAGTTCCCAAGTCCCAATCTTCATCATTGAACATTACATTGATTTTAAAGGAAACAAAATCAGAGATCTAAATGACTGAATAGTCAAAAATATCCAATATAGGCCTAATGCAGGCCTTTGAAAAATACGCCCCAGTGCTTTTTTTCAAATTTTGTAGTTGACTGTCTCAAATGCTTTTTCTAGTTATTTTATACTAAACTATAAAAGGTTCCCTGAAGATGAGAAAGTTTATTTTTATTACTGACATAATAATAACTTGACTCCCTTCTCTTTATTCCTACATCTCCATCAGTGAACCAGGGGTTTCAATAAAAAAAATGGAAGTAGCGAGCTGGTTTTAAAAAAGTGACTGACTGTATCAAAAAGAGGCTTTTACTCCCCTTCTTCTAGAGACATATGGGGGCATGCACCCCTGGAAAATTTCGAAATTTCAATACCTTAAAATGCAATTTCAAGCATTCTGGGCACTAGATTAAGTGCAAAAGAGAATGTATTTTCGATCGATTTGGAGAAGTAATGCACAGGAAGTCCCAACTTTTCTTTAACATTTTAAAACTGAAGCAAAAGGCCTGTCTAGGTCCAACAAATTGAATTTAAATTTCAGTTTTGACAGAATCTATCATTAATTTTATACGTTATTTTCAGCTTCCAATTAAGGGGAAAAAGGTAGCCGACTCCTCTAAGCAAAGTAGCCGACGTGTTTCGTCAGTCGTCGGTGATTATTGAAACCCCTGGTGAACTAATAATCAGTTATTTCATAACATGCACAATGAAATTGCCCTTCAGGAGGAGAAAATTGAGATAGAACTGGAGTGGATTGATCGCAGAAAATTCAATCAAATACCTGACCATGTCACAAATGTGCACCATTTTGTCAAATTCTCTGTGGGCTTATTTTCATCTTTGTTTAACATCTGATCACAGGGAAATTTGAAGCCTTTTTTCTCTCTCATCTCCTGTAACCAGCGTCCAAACAGCATGAGACATGTCCCAACTGGAACTCCTTCATCCACTTGAGTCTGCAGAAGCGAACATAAATTAAAGAATCAGTTAAAAAAAAACCCTTAATCTTAGCTCCTCAGACATACGTTGGGTTTAATTACTTATTCCAGGGGGGTTCTTATATTTTTAATTTTACGTAGGCTCCTGCCATTTGCTGTTGTAAAGAAATACACTGTACACAGACCTTGCGTGTATTTAAATTATTGTATAACTAGCAAAATCAGTCACCATAAAAATACACGAAAATTTGTGGTTAGAAAGGCTGCGGCGTGTAAGAGATTGTATGAAAAAATTACACACAAGTTTTTGGCGTGGAAATCTACCACATTGTACGCAATTTACAAACATTTAAGTGCTGCAATGTCCGTGGTCTGTACTGTAGGAGGGGTGCTAAATTGAAGAGGGGGTAATAATTTCATTTGGAGGTGGACGCTAACTCAAGCATAACTATGGTCCGTAACTCCTGACTGAATGTGCAACAGGATCAAAGGGAAACTACAAATGTAGGCCACTGTACCTGAGTGATACCTGTTAGCTCAGTACAGAACTCACTTAGTCTTGCATGCTCACTTGGTTGTACAAACATGTGAAATTCTGATTCCATCTCCCCAGTCGAAGTATTTAGAAGCACAGCAGGAAATTCAACTGCTCAAAACAAAAACAAAATAGATGACAAAAATACTAAGGAAAACAACAAGGTACATTAGGTAAAAGATCGTAAGTAACACATTGTTTTTATATAAACACCAATGAAATACCAGGTGAGCTTTCGGACGAAAACTTAATAGCTTCACATGTGAAAATAACATGTTATCTTCACATGTGAAAATATCACCTTTCCTATGGCTTCATAATAAATAGCGCCTTCCACACCAAAAAACTATTAAAGTGAAATGGTTTTGTATTTCATTGGTGTTTATATAATAAATAGAACATTACATGGCCCCTTGGAGATACAAAATTTCTCTTCTTGTGTTGAAAAAATATTTCACTCGTTCACCGCGCTCACTCGTGAAATATTTTTCAACACTTGAAGAGAAATTTCGTATCTCCGTGCGGCCATGTAATATCCTCTATTTATCTCATCTTACATGTAAGACTTCCTTTGCTTAACAAGCAAACCAGTGGCTGAGGACAGGGAGAAGGGAGTCCTGGGACAATAAAGGGCAGGAGGGGTACAGAAGGTGGGAGAGGAAAGGGTGGACATGAGAGTTCTAAAAGGGGAGGAAGTGGGAGAAATTACTCAATAATTGCAAGCAAAACAGGACTAAAGGGGAAGCCAAGAAAAAAGGGCAGGAGCTGTTAATGCAAGGTACGGGAGTCAGAAGGTTTGGACCTTCCTAAAACTCCCCCCACCACCTAGGGATGCATGGAAGATGTCGAAGCTAACAATCATATAGCACCAGAAAGTGTCAACAGTGAAGAAAAAGGGAATTCCTCATTAATTTTGATTAAGAGAACAGTGTATGCACCACACCTACAGTCCCGACTCACTCTATTAATGTAGAGCTAGTGTTCAAATTGTCAGTTTTTCAATCTTTTTCTGGTGTTATATTCAGTGAGGTTATCAACTCAGTTGTTAGCATAAAGTCACCAGAAATGCTTTTTTTGTTTATCAAGGCTTAAAGAACGAGATACATCACTCACTTGTCAGACTTCTTGTCTCATCATAGCTCATTAGACATACAATACACATAAATTGCATTGTTATGTCTCATGGCTTCAAGAGCTAGATATACTTCACACACTCCTATATTCATTTTTATTTCTCTGTGTATTGCGTCTGATAACATTTTGGGTGACATAACTATATATTCACTTTCAGGTAACATAACTGTGGTTTCAAGTGACACAGTATCTTCAGGCCAGATGACCATCAGTCAATAGACCTTATTATTGTCACAGTTTTCAACAGTGTTTGTATGAGAATCTAATGTCAAATAATTTCCAAAAAATGGCTGTTCTGAAAAAAATATGAATTGTAAACTAAAGCTACAAAGCAAAGGATTGTACTAAAAATGTTTGGGGCGTACCTGTCCTAAAATTTCTCCACAGGCTTGCTTTAGATTTTCCATATATTTGTCTGTAATTTTTCCTGGGACTTTCTAGCCTGCGTAGCAAGCGTTTCCTCGCGAGTTCATCGAGAAAGTCGGGGGATGAGAGCAAAAAAAAAAGGAATTACAGGGGAGGGGGAGGGGAATGAGGGAACCGCTTGCCCGCAAACACCACGATTTTGAAAAACTGCGTTCACCCACGAACGCAGCTTCTGATTGGCGCGGTTCTGGTAGTGTTGATTACTTAGCACTCGAAACATCAATCAAACCAGGTATGCTTTGTTTACGTGCATCACAGATCTGGTTTCATCTGATTTGTGGTCGCAGATTACAGATGCTTTGGACTGATATTTATTTGAATCGTGTTTTGTGGAGGTTTATAAGATCAAAGTCTTCAAAGAATAATTGGAGATTGAGTACTGGAGACTAGGGAAGGCCAATTTATTGGGAATGACGGCGTGCAGATCTGACTGGAAAAAATGGACTGTTTGTTGGAGATAACATGAGGTAAATCAGAACATCGGTACTCGACACTAGCTAGAGCCGCCTTGGACAAGCGATTTATCAGCTTTTTGAAATGAAAAGATTATTTTTGTTTATTGGAAATTTAGCGGCATGTATTGTAGAGAATGTTTCGACCTTATAGCCGGCGGAGTGAATTGTTCCGGACAAATCATTTTTGACGTTTCGACAAGGTTTCAGACGAGATAAAGCCACATAATAAAAAACAAGAAATTCCGCACCAATCGCACAGAGTTTTAACCTTCTTTTATCGTAAACCTTTTTTATTACAGTTTTTGCAATCGCCTGGAACGTGTTCTATTAGAGATCAAAGTAATTTTACAAATCTGGTAATCCAGGGGTAATACTTCTATTTTGACGAGCTGTAAATTTACAAATCAACCAAACCGTGAAATATCAAGGGGCGTTTTCCAGAATCGTGGGGTTTGCGGGCAAGCGTTTCCTCTTCTCCCCTCCCCCTCCCCCTTCCACCTTTTTTTTTTTTTGCTCCTGCTCTAACTTTCGCGCAGTAACTCGATTGGAAACGCTTGCTACGCAGGCTAGGGACTTTCTTACAGACAAATGTATAGAAAATTTAAAAGTGGTTCTAGGTCTTCTAGCGCATGTAACGCTCTCGATTTTTTCAGTAGAATCCTTAAGAATTAAGCTTTAGTTTACAATTGATATTGTTTTCAGAACAGCCGTTCTACGGAAATTATTCGACATAAGATTCTCATACAAACACCGTAATTTCTCACGTGTTTGCCTACTCATCAAGATGGCGTCAAAAACCGTGACAAGGTCTATTTGATGGGTTACCAAAAGTGGTTTTCAAAACCAAAATTTTTGCTCTGACAGCCTCAGAGTCTCTGAGGAACATGTTCACTTAGCACATGCTGAGGAAGGTCATTGAATAGAGCACTGAGTTCCTACACAATCAGCTCATACTATTGATGACTTACTAATCTCAGGACCATAGTTCATTTTCTTGTCTTTCCAGCATGTTGATTCAAAGTCAAGAACAATCAAGTATGTAAAATATTGGCCTGTCATTGTTAGAAAAAGATAACATCAATAGAGAATTTTACAATATACAATTGTCAAAGATTTGACGATAGTGTAGTAATCTGCAACCTTTTATTCACTTTATGATCTACTAATAATTGATTAATTCTTTTCTTTAATTTGATCATTGATGAATATCTAGTATTTGTAGCTATTTGTAGACAGCAGAAAATCTAGTATTTAAAAATACAAAGGAACAACGTATATATATATATATATACTGCATTATCGATGCAGGTAATTTACATTGATTCGAGATTCAAATTTGAAGACAGCTAAAAAAAACTAAAAAGGTATTAAACTTGTACTAATAAATTGGATTTCTTACTTGGTTTTTTCTCCTTTTCTTGACCCTTAGATCGGCTCGTGGAGAATGAGGGTCTCTTCTTTACAAGACCTAAACATCTAAAAACGAGCAGGGCGGTAAAAAAATCAATTGCGGCTGGTTTTGTAAATAATTAACATGCTTCTCACAACGCTGCAACGAGAAAAGGAAAAGTGCGATTGAAATGATCACCAACTATGACCGCTTGATCGCGTTCTTACCTTGCTAATTCTTTCGCAGATACTGCGTTTGAAGATAATGGCTGTAGTGATGTATCGTTTCGAGACATATGTGAAGGAGAACGCGTTAAAAGAAACGAGAAGCGGCAGTTGTTTTTTTGAGAAGTTTCGGCTGAGTTGCTGTGTTCAAAATTCGCGCATGCTAAGCATGCTCGGTAACACCGCGGCAAAACGCAATGCGCATGAGCACAAAATTTAATATCCGGTCAGCTTTTTATTTCCGGTCTAGTATATAAACCAATAGCGAAAGCATAACTTTGCCGTCGCGCCAAGTTTAAAAGCAAAAAGGGCGAAACAGACAAAAAAGGGGGCCAAAAAAATCACTTCATTCGAAAGCTTATATATTTTTCTATTCTCAAACTTTTGCACCACATGGTTATCTGTTTGCACCAACGGTGAAAATGATGTTTGAAGTTTGCAGGTCGCGAGCGCTCGACAAGACGAATTTGTTTTTACTGGCTTTCTTGCATGCTACTGGTTTGGCATAAGTTAATTTGGGAGAAGGCGACAACTAAGAAAAGAATAACAATACTTATGAAAGAAACCAAAATAAAGACGTCATCATTATCATAAAACACACTAAAACCAGGAAATAAAATTTTAGTCCGTTCAATAATTTGTTTTATTTTCTGAGAAAACAAGAACTCAAAACAAAAGATAGGCGGGATTTAATAACAACTTTGACTTTGATGACTGCAGTCACCGGAAAACTAAACATGCCTATAAATGACTTTCATTCAAGAAAATACCTATTTAAATCTTTTACATGGTTGTTCTTTTGTTGAAGACTTCAATAATTTCGGACTGTGCGGCTCGACTGCATCTCATGCAAACACGAAACTTCTAGCTGCTAAATACATGGCATGAAAAGTTCGACTTCTAAAAGCCACTGAACCAGCTTTCGCTCTCTGATTCTGAGAATGGAAAAATAAATAAATAGAGTTGTCAACTTGCTGCCAACCGGCTCAATAGTATAATTAAGCTTATGTTTCATGGGAATCAACCCAGAAGAGTTTCTTTAGAAAACACTGGTAAACAAAACTACAAAGCGATTGTGTGTTGTCGTTTTCCAAATAAAGTTTGAATCGGCTTTAACACATGTAGACTGAGAAACTGAAGAACTGAAAATTAGAACTACAATACACACGCTTGCAATGATAACGTTTTAATTTTATGTCTTAGTTTCAGCCAGGTTAAGTGAAAAATAACAGTCAAAAACTTTATTTTCGTGAATGAAAATCAGTTTACCTGACGCTCTAGCCAAAATTACACACTGAGTTATTATCATCTTACCTTTTCTGAATCTAATCGACTAATTGTTTCAGTGATCTGTGCCTGGTTATCCATAAAAGCAATTTCAATAACTACAAAATAGTCAAAAACACGAGCAGCATAAAGCAGAACAACTGAACCACAAGCTGCATACAGAATGAAGTGCGCGGGAGACTTTGACTGGAAAGTGTGACTGAAAAAGAGACCGGAAATGCTCAACCTGGCGCATGCGTAGACGTTTTGCCGCGGTGTTATGCTCGGTTATGCTCGGTAGGGTGCTCGGTATAAACTTGTTCCTAGTCCCTTTCGGCGATACGGATTGGAACTGGAGTTGGAAGGCGGGAACGCGAAAATTAAAAATTCCAAAAGCTAGCAACAGGTAAATTACGCTGAAATTTTACCGTGTCATTTCACCAAGTCAGGTAACGTAGGAACGTAGGCTCGGTCTCCAGCCACGGCTAGGCGCACGGTTTTATTAGGGCTCCACTTGTCAGTTGGGTCATGATGTTTACAACCTGATTATGCATAAATTCGAATTTCTCCCTACTCCACCCCTATCAGGATTCAGGAACGCTCTGGTTACTGCGAATAGATTTGGTGGTTTGTACGGGGGAAGGAAGGTGCACGATATCGGATATAGCCTGAGATCATGCCCTCTCCCTATTATCCCTTTATGCCTCGTCCGCCCTTGAAAAAAAAAAAAACAAAAAAAAAAACGCCTGATCGCAAGTTATATCGGATATCGATACATCTTCAACAAAATCACTGCCACGCGTTCATCGTGTAGTGGTTTTCAAGACCAAATTTCGGCACTGTAAGACACAAGTGGAAAGGACCGAATTCAAAAGAATGCTCATCTTTTGGTGGAAAAAGAAAAGCTTTCAGTTACAAATTTTGCCCTTGAGGACTTTGAACGTGTTTTCTTCACTGTGTAAAATGCAAAGAATCGAGGGAGGAATCAAGACATTCCAAGTGGAGGCCGAGCCTAAAATTAAATGAACGTCATCACTGTAAAATAAAATCCGAGTCACTCTTGTTATTCCCAACATTGAAATGAGGCTCTTTTGTTAAAAAAGAAGGGAGAAGTTGAAAGAGTCACTTTTGACAGGCATTTATGACAAGTGAGTATCGAACCTTTCTTAGGGGTTATGAAAGAAATATTTTTAGAGCGGCGAGGCGGGGAGGGACTTCTCTTTCTCTCTCTCTAACCCCCCCCCCCCAAAGGAACGCCTGACTCTCAGGCAAGTCACCTTCGTACTCTTCCAAAGACTACATTTTCACTTCAAGTCCAAAAAACGTTCTCTGCATTTATGCTCACATTTTTTTTCAAAAAACCGAATAAATAACATTTGTTCACAGATAGAGTAGCCTGAATTTCAGACATATCTTCGAGTCGCATGTTCCCTCACAGACGGCGTCTCTGTCTGAAATTCAGGGTACAGATAGAGATTATATAGATATTTGCGTGTAAAATGGCTTAAAAGTTAGTTGATAATAATCGCTGCTGGGATTCCGAGTGTCTATAACAAAACAAAGTAAACTCAATCACTTGCATTCTGCATTAATACTGGCTCAACTGACGTTTAAACTGAAGAAATATATATATATATAATGTAATATGTATTTTTTTGTAGAAAGAAAGTGTTTTAAGCTTTAACCTGTGCCCTCTATCATAAACAGTTTATGCGGACAAATGCGCTATAAGGCTGTTACCACCGGAGATTATGACATTGGAGAATGTTTCATTGCCTAAATTGGCCGGCCAATATCCCTGCAAATTAAATACGTAGTAGAAAAAAACACAAAATATTTAACACAAAAATTGAACATATACCACAGACAAAACATAACTTTTGTTACAATTATAATCAGAGTATATATTCAATGCAAAATAGACCTTGTTTTTTTTTCACTAAGAATTCTTACTAGAAGTTTTTACTGCTTCTTTAAAATCGGAAAACGTCATCAATTTGAGATCAAGCCGTTTTCGTTTACCATTTTTTTTTCTTTTTTAAATACAAAGTTGGGACTGTAAGCACTCAGATTTTAATTGTGCGTGACTACCCCGCTTTTTATGGTTTTGTTTTGAAAAAACAAGGAATTAAAACTGTCATTGGTGTAAATACCGCCCGTTGAGATTTGACATTTGCGGAAAGGAATATTATCGACAATCTCTCATACTGGAGTTTCAGCCATTTGTGGCTAATAAACCTAGAAACAGTCTACAGGTGAAACCAGGTGAAACCTACCGGCATAGTTTTTTAATTTTATGCCACATCAACACACCCCCCGCAAGCATTAATCCTTTTAAAGTGAAGCTAGTTAAGGTGGCTCGACTGGATTTTTTTAGGGCGATACCTCCCAAGTTTGAGCCTTAACTACGTCGGCATGAGTAAAGATATCGAAAAAAGGTTACCACAACTGTATTACATAAAGATGAAAATTTCTTATGATCTGGGTTTTATTGCAATCGGAGTCGCCATGGCAACGTAATGACGCCATTACGTTTTTCATTTACCCTTGTGTTTCTCTGTACCAGGAGTTTTTTGAAGAAATCGCTTAAGGGAGTATGTACCTGCCATAATTGCCTCCATTATGGCAAAGTTTAAAGAAATTCTATGAGAGCGTTTTCGAAATATTTTCAAATATACTTTTAAGAATCATAAAAACAGTGAAATAGCATGCTAGCCGCTCAATTCGCTAATATATTAAGAAAATGATAAGCTTTGGGAACGCGGCTTCATCTCATAGTGGATTGATTCCATTGAAAACTGCATACAAAAAATGAGGGGAATTGCTCTCGGCGATCGCGAGTAAGAAGGATTTTATTAACTTGCATTCAGCTGCTTTTGATACAGTCATTGGAGGTAATTTGGTCCATGCCTAAAAATTTCGCATTTTTCCAAAAACCGCTCGATAAATTTTTTTATAAATTCGACAATTCCGAGATCAATCGTCAAGAAATATTCCCTGCAAGTTTTAAGAACATTGAAAACAGGGAAGGCTTTTAAATAGGGACTCAAACATAACCAATTTTCCCCCCAGATTTTGTGTTTACAAGTGAGCGTCCTCATTATTCACTGGCATTGTTTTCAAGTTTCATATACACGTGCACATTTAGCAAAAAGAGAGAATTTGCATCAAAAAGGACCCTCGGTTAAATCTTCGGGATATGCTAATTACCGGGTAAAGAGGTTAGTGATACATTATAACATCAGAGCAACTCTTTGTGAGAGTTTCTGTGATGTTATAACCCGAGTAAGATAATTAAGTATTGCATCCTACACGATGAGCCGAGACGTTCACCGTTTCGGCTCTCACTGCTATCTGTGACGACAAGCCAATTATCAGCATATACCGGATATTTCTTCGGAAAGTAATCGAGAGTTCTTTTTGATGCAAATTTATATTTTTTGCTAGTTGTGCACGTGCATATGAAACTTGAAAACAATGCCAGTGAATAATGAGGACGCTCACTTGTAAACACAAAATCTGGGGGGAAAATTGGTTATGTTTGAGTCCCTATTTAAAAGCCTTCCCGGTTTTCAATGTTCTTGAAACTTGCAGGGAATAATTCTTGACAATTGATCTCGGAATTGTCGAATTTATAAAAAAATTTATCGAGCGGTTTTTGGAAAAATGCGAAATTTTTAGGCATGGACCAAATTACCTCCAATGACTGTATCAAAAGCAGCTGAATGCAAGTTAATAAAATCCTTCTTACTCGCGATCGCCCAGAGCAATTCCCCTCATTTTTTGTATGCAGTTTTCAATGGAATCAATCCACTATGAGATGAAGCCGCGTTCCCAAAGCTTATCATTTTCTTAATATATTAGCGAATTGAGCGGCTAGCATGCTATTTCACTGTTTTTATGATTCTTAAAAGTATATTTGAAAATATTTCGAAAACGCTCTCATAGAATTTCTTTAAACTTTGCCATAATGGAGGCAATTATGGCAGGTACATACTCCCTTAAGCGATTTCTTCAAAAAACTCCTGGTACAGAGAAACACAAGGGTAAATGAAAAACGTAATGGCGTCATTACGTTGCCATGGCGACTCCGATTGCAATAAAACCCAGATCATAAGAAATTTTCATCTTTATGTAATACAATTGTGGTAACCTTTTTTCGATATCTTTACTCATGCTGACGTAGTTAATGCTCAAACTTGGGAGGTATCAACCCCAAAAAATCCAGTCGAGCCACCTTAAAAATCACCTGTTATTAACATGAAAGACACCCTATGATTTTCAATTCTCTGTCATTTTAGGGCGCGGCACCGGCTTTTGAAAGTTTGCCAGGACGCTAAACGACGGCAGGCGGCTGAGAAAAGTTATTGACTTTACCTTCGATTCATTTAACGATAAGATTTCAATATCAATGCTTCAGAGAAGCTGTACTCCACCGACCATCGTTTAACCTAATATTCGGCAAACAGTTCGACGTTGCTGGCACTTTCAAAATGGCTGTCGGATTTGGAATCGTTACAGTAGCATTTCTCGCCACATTCGCCAAATATTTCTCCAAGCGTTGGTTTATTTGGGTCATGGGAATATTAATTGCTGCCGAAGTTGCCATGTTTCTCAACGCTGGAAATCAAAAGAAGAGCAGAGGAAGCGAGGAAAAAGTAGGCGGTGAAATCACACGTTCGGCGAAGAAAGAAGAATCTTCTGTGGCAAAAGGACAGGAAAAAACCGCTTAATTATGAGGAAAGCGCGCCTAGTAAAAGAGGGATAGTGTATAAACTGATTCATGATGGTAACGGAAAACCACTTTAACGAAGCGTCTATTCAGAGATAAAACGTTTTCAGCTGACAAAAAGGAGGTCATCATACACGAATTTCTTATTTGCTCTTTAGCACGAACTGTACCTAAACTTCACAACTTGGGTGTGACCCGAGACGGTCAGATTTACGATGAGAATGGTCAGGACTAAATAACCGATGTCTACTTAAGTGCATGTTACATTCAGTTTGGGGGTAAATTCTAAATAATATATGTTAGAATACAGGGTTACAAGAACCACTTTTGAATCACTATTCTTTTCATTATTTTCATAGCATTGAAAACAATTCTGCTAAATGATTAATTAATGAGAAATCACTGCTTATATTGCAAGTGTAACTGCTTTTATTCAGATGTGTTATTCGAAAACAACTGCTCGAAGGCTAAGAAGGATCCTGGGGAACAAGCTTACCGAATAATGAATAACGAGGGATGCACGGCCAGGGAGTACTGCCCAAAACCCACTTTAACGAAGCATCCATAAATGTTTTGCAGAAGATTTTTCAGTAAAGAAAAAGGAGGTCATCATACTCGGATTTCGACGCATTTGCCTTTTGTCCTCTTTAGAACGAATTGTACCTAACCTTCGCAACTTGGGAGTGACATGACAGATTTACAGATGAGAATTTTCATGACTAAAAAACTTATATCTACTAAGATATATTGTAAATGCAGTTTGGGAGTAAATTTTAATTGATCAGTTAGAATACAAGGACCTACAAGGGGTACAAGAAATTTAAAATGAACCACTTTTCCACCAATATTGCTAAATGATTGATTAATGAGAAATCACTGCTTATGTTCATTTGTAAGTGTAACTGATTTTATTCAAATGCGTTATTGGAAAACAACTGCTCGAAAGCCTTAAAGGATCCTGGGGAACAAGACTGGTTAGAAAGCAGGTGATCGAATAAAGGCAGGAAATTAATTGAAATGTTAATCTGGACATGATCGATATCTCCTGCAGTATCTGGTGTGTTTCCTGGGTGCCTAAGATTGTTATATACCGTTAACTAAAGCACGCGCTTTTCTAAAATCTTGCGAAGAAAACGAATTATCTCAACAGCAAGCAGCGAAAACACAAGAAGTGATTTTGATTTCCCGGGAAATCCCTTAGGTGCAATATAAAGTGATACACCAAGCCCAAAATGAAAGAAAGACACCCGTAACAGAGTGTAAACCTTTTGGATGAGATTCACACTTGAGAAAAAAGCCCCTTAACTCAATGAGTCATCAGATTGAAAATTAAATGTTCTAGTTAAATGTAAAGCCCCACCCCCTCGGCCGGGACTTAGTGGGGCATTTTCGCCGAATTTTCCTCTATTTGACGAGCGAAAGGTTCGCAGGTATCGGGAACTTTGACGACTTTAGCACGCCATCCAAGAACAGAGGGGAATTGTGACTGGGGTATTGTTAAAGCAATTTACATGTACATGGGGTTGTAAATTATCAGGCAAATGTGGCATTTACGACATTATCTTTGCCCCTGATTTACTCAGCTTGCCCATTGCGCAAATCTACTTTTTCGTCTCGGCAAATCCCTCTCAACAGGGGAGCAACCAACTAGCGTGAGGTTTTTAGACGATTGCAAATACGCACAAGCACAAATTCGCCATTCTAGCCACACGTACGATAAAAAATAAATAAATAACGATTGAAAGTTAGCACATCCACTAAGTGGTTCTTCCTCTACCTGATTCCTGGTCAAACTTCAATTTGAAAATATTAGTTTTTGAGGAGAAGGGAAAACCTCTCGGAGCAAGGGAGAGAACAAACGACAAACTGAACCCACACATGGCCTCAACGCCGAGATTTGAATCCTGGCCACATTGTTGGGAGGCGAGTGCTCTCACCACTGCGCTGCCCTTGCGATAATAAGCAATATGTGGGATAAAAATAGGTACATTATAAGTTTTATTAATCATAAACGTAAATATATTCAAACCTTGCTCGCTCCGGGGTATGAGCCCCTTTACCAATGTCTTCAACAAACCAGGGGCACCCAACGACTGCTTTCTGTAAAATATCCTGTTCGGAGAAGCAAAAATTGCGCAGAATTTTCTATAACTTGAGAAAGACTAAAAATTTCTAGATGACCGTTCCACTCATGTACAATTTTCGAAGCTTATCTAATAAATTCCCTACGATTTTCTGATCGAAGTTAAATTTTTTGCATTTCTCTCCTCAGATTAAGCTTTTTTTGTAGAAAAAAGAAACCTAAAATTTTCGGACTCGAAAATGCGTTGGAGAGAGGAATCAGAAAATGTCTTTCATAAAACGTTGAATTGCACCTAAAATTTTCGGGAAAATAATGCAAATAATGCAGAAGCCCTGGCTTGTAACTTCGAAATTCCTCAGTTTGCCCTAGATGACCGAAAAGATACAAATTTTATAGCGCCGCTTAGAATGCATTTCTAGAGATCTCAAGATACTCTGGATAGCCTAAAATGTGTTTTTAATGTATTTAGAAAAAAGCCTCGTTGGGTACCCCTGTCAAGCAGACCGGCAACCGTGGACTTCTTGACGGAATACCTCACCTATGTATACCATGATCAAAAACGAATAACAGCTGCCTCGTTCCGGCAGTTGCTCGTTATGGCTTATTTGGGGACATTTTTAGCAATTATTGAATAAGGCTGAGTATGGTCTGAAGACTTATGGAGATCGAGGAGGGTGTTGTCCGCCGAGGTCGGTAACACCTTCCATCCTTTACATGAAAAATTTTCAAAAGTGATCACCGTCTCTTCAGAGAGGGTCCAGGTGACAAGGAGAATTTTGACGCTATTTTGAATAAGTGGTTGCTTTACCAGACGAGATTCCATCAGGTGTTTCACTGAAAAAAGTGAAACCTTGTCTATGTACCATTCATAAAACATTTTCGAAAATTTCGCTTGGCTACGTTCTTTTGGAAGGAACGTTTTCTTCTTACCAACCAATTTTGTTGATACGATTGCCGGAACGGCCGTGAAAGCCTGTAGGCCTGGAACTGGTAAGATATGCGCGAAATTGTAAATTCAACATGGACCAGTTGAAGAAATTCAAATGAGATGTTACCTTAGTTTTTGTTATTACATTCATATGCCTGAAATCTTTGACACGGTTCGCAATTTCCTTAAGCTTGTTTCGCTCTTCAACCATTGTTAAAGAGTTTAAGGCAGGAGTAAGAAACAACAAAAGTATTGAATAGATGCCTTGCGTTATATCACTGTAGGGATGTCAGTTCAAGGAATCACCTAGAGTTTGGTTCATATGGGAAAAGATTAAACAAATGAACGGCTCTGCTTGGAAGAATGCAGATCACTATCTCATTCCAGATTTAAAAACAAATTTTCAGTAGTCAGAGCTTCTGTTTAGACAAATTGAGTTATCGCCTAGCTGTTGAAAATCTTTAAGAAATGAGCGACAATGGGAACCTCGCCTGTTGTAGTGGATTCTGAGTTTAGTAAAACAAATACTCAGGATACGTATGAAGTAAATTATCTTATGTTTAATCATGGGGAGTTAGCATTGTCCTAACTGCTGAATGCTGCCATAATCCTCTTAATTCAAGTTTTAATTTTGCTATCTTGTCACTAGCCATATGTAAGTGCATTAATTAATTATGAAGAACTTTTTAAACTAAATCTTCACCATAGACTTGAATGCATTTCGCAGATATTCATTTCGAACAAAGTAAATAAGAGGATTAATTGTTGAAGGAGCAAGTGACATTGTCCGCGCCCATGGGAGGAAAAGTGCAAGCTCTCGATAATATCCCAAGTGTTCCATAATAGCGGAACCAAGCATACCTGGTACCAGTGAAGCGAACAGTACCATGGTGACAAGGAGCATATCACGAAACACCTTCTTCTCTCGTTGAAGCACAGCTTTTAACTGTTGCGAAGAGACAACATTTTCAGCCACCTGTCTATTGTGATGGACAATTGCGAGCCATGTTCTGACGTAATTGATGGGCGGGGCAACAAAAAACACCGCACCCCAGATGCTGATGGAAAGACCTCTGACAAAAGGTGGCAAAACCAAAATATTCAAGGCTGTGAATATGAGCCAGACCACTCCCGCGAAGGTGACTTTCTTTATAGCACCTGATTAAAACAATAAGAGCTTAGTGTTTTAGCACCTATTGTAGACCGCGAGCAGACTTTCATTTGCTCGAAAATCTATGAGCGAGCTTGATATGTGAGTATACGAGCGGCGAAGCCACGAGCATCAAGCTTGCTTGGACTGAGGCCCGCGCAACGCGCTGCTCGTGGCTTCGCCCCGGGGGAGGTACTTGGGTAAATTTTTGCTGGGTATGTGCCGCTGGCCTCTCAGAGCCCCTAACCGTAATAGACTTGGAATCTAATTGCACAGAAATTCAAAATAAAAAAATGTTTTTAATTGTTATCTCACTGATACTGTCATTACTTCAGCTGATAGTAATTAGGAATTCATTTTAGTCATTTTGATTATTATTTTTGTTATTTTTGACTGTGGATTTTCTTCTAGTCAAGTGGTCATTGATTTACAATAGCGGGCAACTTAAAAAAAAACATGACTTTTAGATGAGTTGTGAGCTTTTTGAGCTTACGACACGGTCATGTGATAATGCTCTGCGGACGCCCTGTTCTGACAGCTATAAATTAAAGATGGCGCTTTTGGTGACTTCCATGTCTTATTATCAGTGGAGAAACCTACCTTCCTTAGAGGCTTCAGCCATATATACGAGAGGATTGGACACAGCATAATGGCGATCAAAACTCATAATTGTGACGTTCAAGAAAGACAAACCAGCTGTAAACACATAGGAAATGTAGTATAAGTAAAATATCAATAGCTGGTTTGAACACGGCTCTTTAGAATTTGGAAGGACAAGTCGCCATACAATAAACATTGGCTGAGCAGTGACAGCTGTAAGAAAATCCGTGAAGGCCAGGCTACACAGTAAGATGTTGCTGGGTCTCTGCAAGGAGGAGTTCCTGGCGACAGTAACAATAACAGCAAGGTTACTAAGGAAAGCAAAAATGGCACAAGGAGCGTTGGCAGTAGCAAGGAGAATGCTGTTGATGTAGGAGACCGTGTCGTCGATTGTTAGTCCACTCCAGCTGTCACAAAAAGTGGCATTTTTGTCGTTCATCTTTTGGTCTTGTTAACCTGGTGATTTGTTTTTAGTTAGCTTGTACCTGAAAATAACAAATGTCAACTGAATTCCCATCATTTCTTATTGCTGGAACAACTAGAAAAGTAATTCTGAAAGTGACTTTCCTTTGTTCTTTAACCTGCTCCACATAAACAATGATTGAATGAAGCTGAGTATGATATGATAAATTATGCAGATCGAGGCGGGTGTTCGTCACTGCAACCCTTTTTAAAAAACGTTGCTGCTCCCCCTCACCCACCCAATGTTGAATCTCGGGAGACATTGCGGCTACTCGTGTCCAACATTGTAAGTTGGGTTGAGGAAGGGCTGAGCATGCGCAGTTTTATTTGGCGGGTATGAAAAAGCACCACAAATGCAACACTTGTCCCAAGATTTATGTTCATCATTGCAGCAAGCATTCGTAAGAGTAAACTAACTTTAAGTGAAAAGACTGATTGATAACTTGTGCTGGCCCACGAAAGTTTCCTTCCTTATTACAGTAAAGATCAATTATTCAACATACTCATTATTCAGCACCTGTCATACTACAAACGATAAAACCATTTCGAAACCATTTTTCTAATCTTTTTTCTAAGGGACTCGTGGAAGCAACAGGGGCACCCAACGGCAATTTTCGGGAAAATATCTGTTCGGAAGACGATTTGAGATCTAGAATTTTCGGAGCATTTGTTGTAAAAGTTCTTGCTTGCCTGCCTCTCCTAGGATTTTCCAACATCTACAAAATGGTATAATTACCCATTTTTAACGGATTTTAACCCTAAAAAAGGCCACCTAGAATTTTCGGGAGCCTTTTCCTGGCTGAAATTTTCGAGAGGGTAAGTTTTTATCCCTATGATTTTCGGATCACTAGACTTTCAGCTAGGAAATCCGAACAGATGAAAAGTTTTTAGGGGATGAAAATATGCCTATATCTACCGTTTGAATACTAAAATACGTTTAACAATGCTATGTTAAGTGGTTTTGAACTATATCCTCGTTGGGTGCCCCTGGAAGCAAGGCTCTATCCAAGCGTCCGAGCTGGAAAAACTGTGACCTGAGTTTTTTCTGTGCCTTTGCAGTCACGAAAAACAACACTTTATCCTTCCCAATTAAGCGAGTTACCATCGCCTTTTCTATTATATCAAACAACTGCAGAGTGTATTTTTGTATTATTAAACCTTCTTTTAACCGTATTTTTACCTCCGGTCTTTGGAAATAACCGCCTTTCATCTAATATCCTGTATTACGAAATGTTTAACCTTCTTTTTGTCTAAATGACCATCGGTCGAAACCATTTTTTTTTTTCAAATGGCGCTTTAAAATTTGATGAGTATTTATTTAACATGGTCTTTGAATGCCTTAGCTGCCTTCGCGCAAATTAGATTTAGATAATCAAACAGTTTTGAACTTTACAAAAAGTGATGATACATCAAATTGAAGAGTTCACGACGATATTTAACAGTAAAAAAACCTCTTCCACTGAGGCTCACTTCTGTGAAGCAGAGACTTAAATTAAAAGCAGTGCAATGATCGATGAATTATTCACAGCCAGTGTCAGCCGATACGTATAAACGTTGCAGGAAACAGCAACTATAAAATTTTGTCCGTCTAGCTTTACTCCAAAGTTTTGACAAGAAGTGGACTTACACAAATAGGTGACTGATCGTCCTAGAAGTGTTAAAAATTGTTGTGCAATTTGTGAAGAGGCAATTTGATGAAATTACGTGAACTGAATGGTTGTCGTTTATAATTACTCTCTCACTCACTCCCTGACCACTCTCAGTCACTCATAATTATAAGGTAAACTTACAGTTATTCAATTGTCGTCTTGTATGAAGCTAATCTTGTTACTGAGGCTTCCCAAATACACGATGTAGCTGACTGAAAAGGCTAAAAACCCTAAATTTGCATTTTCGGCTGCCGCTTTATCTTCCAAAAAGTTTTTTTTTAAAAGACAAACACAATAGGTTTGCAGCTGTAGGCAACGCATTAACAGTTTCAAGTATTTAATTAGAAGCCATCAAGAAAACGCGCGGAGTGAACAGTCGAATGCACGGTTTCCAAAGCTGATTCTTTGGCTACTCTCTCAGTTTTCTTCTGATTGGCTGAGACCGGAAGCAGGCCAAATTATATATTTTAGCTCGCAAAATAGACCAGCATTAATGCTCAATTAACTAACATGATTTCAAGTACTTTAAAAAGAGTGCCGATTTTTTCAAAATATAGGCCAAGTAAATGTTTATTTGCTGGAAGAAATCGAAACTTAACTGGTAGCATTAAAACGTGTTCACCATAGTATTAACAAAAGTTACCGGACCTTCACGGTCGTCTTGCAGGCGTACAGGCAATATAGCGCGATACCTAACAACCTTATATCAAAGTAATTAATGTTTATAAACTCAGCCCTATTTATTTTTTTGCTTACTTGATCTGTTCTGAAGATTAGTCTTAATGTAGTAGAAGCATTTTTAAGCTGAACTAAAACTGTCAGAGGTCTGTCAAATGATTGATTATTAAAATAACCAGTTTTCAGTGTAAGCTTAAGAATAATACAATAATTTCAGTGTAATTTCTCCTAATGGAAAAAATATATTGACCAATTACTAGATTGTGGATCGCATTAAATGTCAAAAAACCAGGCATCACATTTATCCTAAAAGACTTTCTTCAGAACTTTTCCCAATTTCTCGGCACGGTTTCAGGATATAAACAGATGCAAGTTTATCTTGCAGATACTCCCCAAAAAGTTTCCAATCAAATATTCCATCGATCAACCTCATTGAATCACGTATACCATCGAATTGTCGGTGCCGTACCTATTTCTGTCGATATTCTGTACAATTAACGCCAAAGCATTTAACTGTCACGATTATTTGTAACTGACACTGATGAAAGTATCGATCGAAACATTTATTGCTAAGGAGTCTTAGTGAATGTTAATTCGCTTTGCTGTTTAGTCAGACTAAATTATCATTCTCGATCATTGTTAACTAACCTTTGGTACTTTAAAACTAATCGTTGTCCTTATGAACCTGTGCCGTTATTACAGGGAGTAGATAACTAGTACAGAAACCTACCTTCTTTGGAGGTCCTTGCGTTATATACCAGTGGTTTGGAAATGGCATGATGTCTGTCAAAACTCATAATTGTCAAGTTCAGGAATAATAAAACCTACTGTAAAGGTTTGGGAAATTTAAAGGAGATAACATAGGAAAACTATAGGTGTGAACACTCCGGGTATTCGGAAATCTGCGAGGTCAGGTGTAACACAAGGAACATTAGGAAGCTTAAGCGGCAACGACGACGGCGACGTCAACGAGAACGGCAAAAAAGCAATAGGTTTAGATTAGCAAACAACAACTCTGCATGTGCATCACGCTTTTTTGTACTTTTCTTTGTCGTCACTGCTCGACTACGACGTGAAAATACCTAATTTCACGTGTTTTCTTTTTCTGAACTTCGATACAGTCTTTTAGAATTCAACTCCAGAGAAAATTGCCAACATTTGATGAATTGAACGAGAAAGAATAAGCGCGATAAAGTTTGAAACAGCGCGACGTCACTTTTTGAGTGACGTTTTCGTAGCCGTCGCCGTCGTTGTTGCCTAAACTCCCTCATAGGGACCTTAAGATCCGAGGACAGCGACGGCAGAGAAAACGTAGCTGAAAAAGTGAATTCGCGTTCTTCTAATCTTTATCGAGATTACTCCAGGTCACTAACTTTGTCAAGTGTAGGCGAACCCTCCTAAAGTTGAATTCCTAAGAAATATATCCAAGTTCAGAAAGAGAGACGAAATTTCGTCGTCGCTTGCATACTTCCTCTGTAAATCGTGAAGTTAGGCATTTTTATGTCGTCGTCGTGCAGTGACGGCAAAGAAATGTACAAAAAAGCATGATGCACGTACAAAATTGTTGTTTTGCTCATTAAACCTATTGATTTTGTGGCGTTCCCGTTGTCGTCGCCGTCGTCGGGTCTTAAGGTCCCTAACGGCTGAGCAGTGAATGCTGTGAGGAAATCTGTGAAGCCCAGGCTACACAGTAGAATGTTGCTGGGTCTCTGCCGGGAGGGGTTCTTGCATTTTGGCAACAGTCACAATGATGGCGAGGTTACTGAGGCACGCAAAAATGCCACAGGGTGCAGGGTTCATTGTCAATCCAATTCAACCAGGCAGCCCACAAATTCCGCCATTTTCCGCATTCATTTTTTTTTGTCTTGTGGATATTACACTGATATTAGAGAGATTTAGAGTATGGAAAGTCTTTTGTTGGGAACTAGCTTAGCCTTTTCACAAAGAAAAAGTTCTCCCTGCAAAATAGGTGTTACACCGATTTTTATATCGGCCAGAAAATAAGCTGCTTAGTGCAAACTAATGCTGACGAAAGTCTAATCTTATTGGTTGAAACAGACTTATTAGCATCAAACTTTCAAGATGATTGCTTTGTCAAAATGGTTTTTCTACCCAAGTTTTCACTATTAAGCTTAAGTCAACTGGCCATGTCAATTCAAAAAAAAGACAACAATATAAAAACTATAAAGAACAGTTATTTTGACATGAATTTACAGCTGAGAAGTTTGTTAGTTGTTGTTGGAAATTCAAGAGGTGTTAAGCTTCTTTGTCGAAAATGACTGCTTAAACTTTTCCATGTATTAACTGCTGACATGTTCGCAAAAATCGAGCGTCCTAAATAAAAATACAGCATATGGTCAAGAGTAGAAATTACAACAATAGATGTTTACTCAGCAAGCACCTGCATGAAAAATAATAGATATCTCGCTCTTGTAATTGAAATACACCTAATTGCAATTACGTTGCCTTAAAGAAATTAAAAAAGGAAAAAGCCAAATAGGAATTAATTAGGCTAATCAAGCCTTATTCTCAGCGTGGAGTCATTTGCAGCCGTTGTATTTTCCCGCTGGAAGTTTTTTCATCGTTTTTCAGCTTCAAAAGCATAGCAAATTCCAACAGGTAAATGCGGCGTCCATGTGCGGACGCTGCAAAAGAATTCACCAGGATTATTATCCTAATTAATTGCTATTCTTCTTCTTTCCTTTGTTCATTTTTCTATGACAACGTTTTTGCAATTGGGTGTATTTTAATTTACGTAGAAACTACTGACTGATATGAATTCGGTCGAGAGTGCGAGAAAATAACTCTAAAACTGGTCAAAAATAAAGAAGGTAGTCTTCAGTTTCCTGGAAAATACTGACAAAAGGTGAAGTTGAGGTCAAACATGTCAAATAGTGTAATTCTTAGTGTAAATAAGGCTTTGTTCCTTTCGGGAAACTTATATTTGTATTTCTGTGGAGGGGTACTAAAATGGGACACCTGTCTCTCACCGAATTCATGTCAGAACAAAACTTCAGTATCGATCATCATTTAAACTTATAAGCCAGCAATACAAGGAGTAAAATAACTCACTAAGATAATAACAGGAACACTTAAAATAACTTTGGTACCAACATGCACCGTGGCAATTTGCCACAAGTGGGTAACGTAATTCTTCAACCAACCTTTTCTTCCAAAAGACCAAGGAGAATGAATCAACAGAAAATCATTTTCTCACTTCGGGAGAAGATGTTATTTGATCGGTGTTAATGCGTAGGAGTTGAGCATCAAGTAAAATGAGTCAAATTGTTTTTATGCTGTTCTCCTTCACATATAGATATTTCCCAAACCAAGAGAAAACTTGTAATAAATCTCAAATTAAAAAACTTAATAAACCGTGGTCTAACTTAGATTTTGTTTAAATAACCGACCCAAAGTGTTGACTTAAGAAGCGTCGCAGTAAAAAAAAGGAAATCATTGCACTTAGGGCCTGTTTACATGGAGGTGGGGGACCTCAGGTAGGTGGGGTACCCCGCCTATCCATACAATCCCTCATTTTAATGTGATCACTTTTACATGTTAGGTGGGGTGACCCGCCACATGTTACCTCACCTACCTGGGGTCCCCCACCTCCGTGTAAAGAGGCCGTTACTGGTGGGTATCGTAGCAGCGCCATGACCACTCTAATGAAAATTGGCTCCATTGAAGTGTATAGAAAGATGGTGACAAACTGACTCGTCTCCAGTCGTCTCTCTCTCTGTCTGCCTCTCCTTACAGGCGCGAGGGACGCGCGAGGGTGCTCCCGACGCACGCGTTACGCGAAGACGACTGGGGACGAGTCAGAGTGAAAATATAAAGGTTGTCATCAGAAAAATGAAAAACAACAAAAAAAGGCAATTGGAAAAAGCTAAATAAGAATAAATTAGGTACTCTGACTACATTCCGGGATCTGGTGTGACAAAAGAGGGAAGACGAAAACATCCTTATAATTTCCAAGTTACCTTTCCTCAAGTCAACTGATATCGAAATGAAGTATTATTATACTGCTCTGCAAAAGTGTTTTCAGATTATCAAAATATCCAAACGTTACTTAACATATGTTCATTTCTAAGAAAAAACCTCGATCTCACTTTTTTAAATTACATGTTCATTGTAGACCGAAATGCATTTCGCAGATTTTTATTCCTTATAAAGTAAATCAGAGGATTAATTGATGATGTGATAAGTGTTAACGTTATGCCCCAAGGGTAAACAATCGCGTGGATTCGTAGGTAATGTTGCATATAAATAATATAATTTAGAAAATTAGGCGTCACGAAGGCAAAGAGCGAGAAGGTGACAATGCCCATATCTACTGCTGCTTTCTTCTCTCGCTGAACCAACGCGGATATCTGTTGCGAGTTAATGGCGTTCACAATCTGATTGTTGTGATGGCGAATAGCGAACCAAGTTCTGATGTAATTGACAGTCGGTAGAGCAAGCATCAGCACACCGCTGCCAATGGTGACGATCATCGCGATAAGGAAGGGTAAAACGAAAGCAATTAGGACTGAGTTCACCACCAAGACTATGCCTGCGAAGGCCACCTTTTTTATAGCGCCTGGTTAAAAGAAAATTAATGAAAATTTTGACATTAGTACTACTGTAGAGAATTCGATTCTCTGCGCGAGCTGGGCCTTGACTCCTGATATCCATAGATGGTGAATTTTATAGGAACTTATGAAATCTTTTGATCAAGGGATGGCTTCAACTGACAGTTCTAAGCAGCTAATATTATAATGAAAAAACAACAAGAAACTAATGGGCAAGATTTCGGTGGCAGGGTTAGACGACTACAACAAGGGCCCTGCCAAGGGGGAAATGAGATCGAGTGGTACCGGGGGTATCCATCCAAGACAGGAGCCCTGATCAGTATCCAGTCAGCCCCACATGTACATCTCCTGGTCACTGGGAACTAAGGGAAACCAGGAAGAGGGCTTCCTGGGTGGAGTACAGATCAGGTGAGACCGGGGTCCTCACCGTGGAATGGTTATTTTTCTCAACCTGTTTCTAACGGCAATTAGCCTTACTGTGAGGTAAATTGCAGCCAGCCAAGGGTTGCACTCTCGTGCCAAAAGACAGTTGTAGAAGAACCGAATTCCTGAAAGAATTGGCTGGAAAAGACTTTGTAAGGGGTGAATTATTATAGGAGAGCGCATGTGCATAATGTTAATGGAGCCTTTGCAGAGTCTATCGAAGTCTAGGAATATCACGATAAAGTTTAAGTGGAACTTGCAGAGAAAAAAGGATACACTGTGATACAACTAGTAACTGATCTTTGTTTTGCCTTAAACTTTTGACTGATGTCTACGGTTTTTAAATAATGTAGACGTTTATTCAAGTATTGAACATTGCATGACATTAGAACAGCCAGAGATACAATTGTTGCCAGTATTACAACATGAGCTGTGAACAGAATAGCCGGCCATATCTCAAGGTTCATTAACATCAGTTTATGCTACAATAAACTTGCACTTAAACGAGATGTTTTCCGAATAGTCCAACCAAACAAACACATCAAGACGATCTGACTATCTCAGAGATGAAATGTTTAGCGCGGCCACTATTGAGGCCTTCCGAGGGGGAGGGGAGGAAGAGGGTATGCTGTCGCTTTGTCTGTCTGTCGGATGGAAGGTTTGGCCGGAAAAATGTCGCCGTCGTATTTTAGCTAGGACGAAAATGTCGCTGTCGGTTTAGCTTAAAGTTTTATGATACTCAATTTAGAATTTACGGCAGATATAGCAACTGAAAATTGTTATTGTTAATTAGCTGGAAGTCTTTTCCCAACAGCGCGCTCTCATTGGTTACTTTGAGGTCACATGACATGCATCTAACAATGAAACTGTTTCCCGCCAAAATCTCTGAGCAGGCAACATTGTAAAATATATGACGTCAGAGGGTAACAGAACACTGTTACCCGGGAATGTTGACCGCTCGCGAGATTTATTCCTATAAATTTGTTTACGAAATAGTCTGAAATGTCATACGTCTAACACCGGTCTCCCCACAGGTTAGTGGGTGGAGACGTATGACATTTCAGACTATACAAGAAAAAGGTTTTTCTTCGTGGGCTATATAAGACTGGTCCCTACGGAAACTTTCACTGTTTCCCGAGGCGGAGGAAACAAAATTAACTGTTTCTCTCGGGACCAGTCATTAACTGTTTATTGTAACCTTTCTTTCTCGGAGGACCATTCCTAAATAATTAGAAAACGTTCCAGAAAAAAAATAACAGAAAATGTTTGGAAATATCAAACGGAAGCAGAATCCCAGTTCTGACGGAAGAGAGTCTGTTAAATTATTTGGCTGCCAAAACAGGCAATATACAAAAGTGAACGTATGTAGCTTTCACTACTTAAAAAATGGATTGTCGCTGTCACAATTCTTTCCTCCTTTTCTGTCGATTGTTGGTGCTTTGGCAAAAGATTGTCGCCAGTTTTCTGGGCCATGTCTCCTGTCTCTTCTACCCCTTGGAAGGTCTCACTATTCAACACCATACTTTAAGAAATGAATTAGGCCCCTCACTGCGGGCGTTGTACCCTCGACATCAGGGTGTAATAAGCTAGCTTATTACGCCCTGCTCGGCATTACGCCGCAGTTACCAATGCAATTCATACACGAATCTGGAAATGACAAAACATGTAGCAAAGTTTCTTGTCTAAATAAGAGGCATGATGGCACAACCAGGTCCTCGAACACGGACCTGAGGTTTAAGGTCTAATTCTAGTACCAAGACTACTCCGCAATAGGTCCATAATTAACAATCATTCACCGAAGTGGAGGTGGACAGTGAGGTAATTGAACTCAAGAATGAAGATTTTTAACTCATTTATTGCTGCCAAAGATTACAATTTGGGAGCTCAAATGACTGCCTTCACGTTGTCTTGCCGTCTTGCCGACAAAAAAAACTTTTGACGGTATTTTTTTAGCTCTTCTTCTCTTCAAAAGAAGTTGTAAATTATTCTTGTATTTGAAACCATTCTGTACAAAAGCCATTAAACTTAGTTTTAGGCTTAAGACTTAATTTGCCTTTGTAAACAAAAACCTTTTTCACCGGTTTCATCGATAAATTTAGGTTAAAAAGGAAAACTGTACCTGTAAAAACTTCCAAACCGAATTTCGTCGCCTTCTTCGCGTTTTTCGGTAACAGCTTCTTCGATTATATGTGACATTTCCTCGTTTGTTAAGGTAGCACCCGGGAAGCCATTTTGCTCGTAGCTTACGAGAGTTTGGCGTCGCTCGGAGGGGAATAGCACCGGACATCCCGAGTTTGAGAAGCCAATCAGAGTGCGCGACAAAAGCTATGCACTGGTGGTTTTTGGGGGCGACAAGAGAAAGAGGAACCCGCAATCCCAATCTCCAGGTTCTTATAACGCATGCGTCGCATGTATGTAGCCAGCATTCGTTTGGAATTCCACTAAGGACAAATGGAATGCGCAGAAAGCACTTTGATCACGCGTGTTTGGACCTTCTATCACTCGTTATCTCATCACACGTGTTTTGATCATCTGTCACTTGAAACTTATGCAGAGCACAGCGCTGGAGTAAAAGCGTTTTGACCTTTCGTTGTCGCGCGCCCTCCGTAACCTTCGGTTATTACTAGAAGTATATACTAAAGAGCATTATTAAGTAAACCTTTGAGTGAAGAATGTAATTGTCAGTTGTACTATATTTACAGTGCCGCTTTGTGGTGAAGTAACTATCCATCGAACACTGCTCATTGTCAGTATTTATCCGTTTCCTTATTATATGGGATACTATTTTAATTATCATTACCAGTGCAAACACCTACCTTCTTTGGAAGCCTCTGTATTATATATCAGTGGTTTGGACAGAGCATAATGGCGATCAAAACTCATGATTATGACAATCACGAAAGACAAACCAACTGTAAAAGCATAGAAATTATGAAAGGTGTAAAAAATCCATAGCTGGTGTGAACACGACTCCTTGGCATTCGGAAGAATCAGTCGCCACACGACAAACATTGGCTGCGCAATGACTGCTGTGAGGAAATCTGTACAGGCCAGGCTGCACAGGAGAATGCTGCAGGGTCTCTGCAAAGAGGGACTTTTGGTGACAGTGACAATAACGGCGAGGTTACAAAGGAACGCAAAAATAGCACAGGGTGCATTTACAGCGGCGAGGAGGACGTTATTGATGAAGGAGACCGTTTCGTTTCTTGTCAGTGCAGTCCAGCCAGGCAGCCCACAAATAGTAGCATTTTCTTCCTTCATTATTTGGTCTTGTGGGTAACTGACTCTGTAGTCATGTGTTTTAAAATGCTCAGTACCTCTGAAATTAACAAGAAATCACATGCCTTCAAATGTAGATCAGTTGCGAGACGAGAATACTTTGGTACTGAAATATGTTTTCATCTCCTCTCTAGCACCAGATTTATTACTTATTCCCAAATCAATGCCAGATAAAATTATTATAATTTTGCTCGATCGAGACCTGCTACTGAAAACTCCGACTCCAGGAACGTAAAGTGTGGTGTTTAGCAACTAGCAGTAAAAAAATAAAGTAAAAAATTGTGTATGTTTGAATTCAAATAAAACGTAAATTTATCTCAGACCTTACATTTTCAATAGCGGCGATAAATTGTTTAATAAAAAAGTTCTAAATAAAACTCACATTACTATTAAGTAGCGTCAGAAGGCTGCTTAACATCATATTTCGATGCTGGGAAATTTTGGTGTATTTTCCTTCTTGCGATACTGAAAACTAACCTGTTTTAATTGTCACCACGTGTCGAAGTGTAACTCTATTCTAAATTTTGTCTTTCAGCGCTTTTCCGTATTATCTCTAAAACGGCTCGACAGAATTCTTTTAAGCAGCCTTCTGACGCTACTTGATATTAATTTGAGTTATTCAGAACTTTTTTTTAAAACAATTTAAAATGTAAGATCTGAACTATATTTACGTTTTATTTGAATTCAAACATACAGAATCTTTTACTTCTTACGGATGTTATTTGCTAAACATTTAATAGCAGGTCTAGATCGCGCAAAATTCTGATTTTATCTATTTCAAAGTTTTTTGTTTATTGTTGTCGTGATATCGAATTTACTAAAAACTAAATTTTGACAAACTTCAATTCATAGTCAAAATCACTGGTGAAAAGTTTGTAGCGATCGGACAAGAACAAAATCACTTTAAACTAGTCTCCGAAAAAACTGCATCGAAACACCTTAAAGTGAGTGCCGATTTATTTTTCGAATTAGGTAACGTAAAGGTTTTAGTTTTAACCTTTAAAACCAGTTTAAAAACTGCCGAAAGAGATCGAATCGATCGCATGGACGTTGGTGGGCTGCAAAGAGGAGAAAAATTGACTTTTAAGTGGTAACAAAGTTACTACAATCATCCACAAAATTGGTTGAGACAATTTGCCATGAAGGGTCTCTCTGACGTTTTGCCAACTTAAAATGGGGATACGTTCATTTCATCGTGGCAACAAAAACAACCTTGGGGGTTTATTATTACATTCATCTAGAGAGAATTTTACATTTTTTGATGGCTAATGGAAAAAAATTGTTGCATAGAATGATACATTATGATAACAAGGGTGTCTAGGAGCTACATTAACAAACGTTCTCGTGCTAGCGCCAAGCAGAGAACAGCAATTTTAATTTGTCCAATTTATCTCTGCTACAAAATTTTGACAAGAAAAACTTATGAGAAGATTATGCAAACAGGGGTGATTGTCCTAGAACTGTTAAATTAGTTTTAAAATTTGTGAAAAGACGATTTTTAAAAATAAAATGAATGAATGGTTGTCGTTTACTTAGTCACTCACGCACTCGCTCACACACTCGTAAGCAAACTTACCTTCACTCAAATGCGGTCGTGCATGAAGCTAATCTTGTTACTGCGGCTTTCCAAATACATATAGCTAGCTGAAAAGGCCAACCCTAAATTTGCATTTTCGGCTGCCACTTTGTCTTCCAAAAAGTTTTTAAAAAAGCACACACACAATAGCTTTGCAGCTGCAGGCAGCGAGTGCATGCTATTAGCGGCAGACATCAAGCAAACGAAGTGAACAGTCAAACGCTTGGTTTCCAAAGCCTATTGCCTAGTTACGTTCTCGGTTTCCTTCTTCTGTTAAACTGAAACTGTAGATGGTTTTCACAGTGAGGTCATCAAATTGTAACTCAAAATAGCGAGGTTTTACGAATTCTTCTTTACACTGAGTTGAAGATAAACAAAAAATAAATCTTTGTACAAGTTTCCATTCCCATAGCATGTTTCATTTCGAAAATACAGCAATTTGAACTCCCGAGTTTTTACAGTGCGTGACACCAAAATAGGAATGCTGTCTCGTTGAAAAAAGTCTCTCCTCTTGATTTTCAGCAGTATAACCATTTCAAGTATTAGAAGATATGTTTATGCGCACGTACGCTAGTTCTCGAATAAAAAGAAAGAGCTTTTATAGCAAAAGTGAACTCCATATGTTTTTGTTGATTCCCGGCGGCCATATTGGCGCACCAAAACGGTACACCAATATGGCTTCTCTATACAAAGCTCTACAAAGGTGCATGAAACGTTTCGGCAAATAACTCAGAAACTGTGGGCCACAAAGACCTGAGACTTGGACAAATCGTTTATATTTTAGTCTTTTATAATATTTCGTTTTCTTGGCTTCTTCCACTGTACGGTTTCCAATTTTTTTTGTTGCGTTACAGTACACTGAAAACGATGGTTTTATGCAACCGGGCCGAGCCCCTTCATTCAAATTCTCTTCACTAATTCTCTTCCTCAGGGTACCCGAAAGCCGTATATGTCCCGCAATTATATATACGGCTTATTACTGGGCTGCCTGTAGCACGTCCAGTCGAGCTTTCTGTTCCGTCAGTCATGAGATTTAGGTGATTCTCTTTATTAGACATCAACAACAAATACAATCCCACTGATACAATTTATGTTGATAATAAAATTATGTTTGGTTTAACTTTTGTTAGAGAAAAAAGATGAGAATATCATAAACAAACTTTAACTGAAATACTTTTACTATCAATGAAAATAAATCTAGATCTGAAACGATTTAAAATTATTTTTCATGAGTAGTCAGTTCACACAAAATTATTTACTGTAAAAAGTCACACCTAGCTATTTATTTCAAAAGTCAATAATCAGAGCCCTGAACACATGTCGTTAATTTTGTGCCGGTTTATTAAGCATTTAACGCCAAGCACCACTGTTCTTTACGATGTCTGCGATAGATTTCTGCAAGTAATGTGTTCGTTAAGGGCCACAATAATAAATATTTTTGGCTGGGCACAGCAGTGTGAACTTCCAGTTGATGCTAAAGTTCCCTTTCCCACCCACTGTTTCTCGAAGAAATGAAAAGTTCCTGGAATCTCCGCTCTCTGTCTCGGGGAAATCAATATTTCCAGCACGCTTCCCGCCTTTGTTATTATAATTAACTAAAACACACCAGCGTAAATGTGACATTAAAAGCAAACGCGTTTTGTTTTTCAAAGGGGGTATAGGGGCGAGAGCGCAGCCTGAGTCAAACTATACACTTGGTTTTTTGACCCTGTATGACCAAACAGTGACCATAATCAATAAAAACACGCCTAGAGAAGCAATGTACATATAGAATACAGCAGCCTTTCTTCGCATGTGGCTAAAAAGGTTTATTTACACAGGGATATTCTGATACTTAGGATAAACTAACTAATTATGGTCCATTATTTAGGTTTAGAACTAGAAACAGAGTCATTCACATTGCCTCGTGCGAAAAACGACAAACCGCGTTCCTTCGTTGATGTTAAGAAACCATGTAAGAGTCGGCTAAGGCATCCATGGTTGCACGGTTAATGGGGAACGAATTAGAGTCCAGATAATGAAGGAATCTAGCAAAGGAAAAACATACTTTACAGTTTAGGACTTAAAACTACATCTAAAGCAATAGAAAGGAGAAGTCGTTACGTTCTGTTGCCATGGTAGCATGGTCCTGCAAATATGGCAGGGAAAAAAAAACGAAAAAATAGACTTGTATGACTTTCCTGTGCATGATTGCGCAAACGGGAGCCCATACTTTTCTTCCATCGTTCGACAATGCCAATGATAGCCATCTCTGTCAAGAAAGACTGTTGAGATCTAGAAATTTTGCTACCATGGTCACATGACGTCACACCTCTCCTCTCTATTAACCAATCACGACAAGCTAAGTCAATCATCTGAGCCAACCAGAATTTTAACAAAAATAGAAGTTGCCGGTCTCAGGAGCGGGAAAAAGAGCGCGTACACGTCATGACTACTGAGTTACTTCTGACTGGTCAAGAAACGGCACGTGACTACTAGCGAAACAACAGAAAGTGGCAGGGCAGTTCGACTGACTTTTCAAGGACAACTGAAAACTGCTGACAGACTAGGTGTGCCCTTCCCGCCTAAATTAGCCCTGCTTCTGACGAGTTGCGCCCGTTAATGTTGAATAACCGTGAAAATTGGACAAACTTGTTTAAATTCCGTCAGCAATGTTTTATACAATAGGGCCATTTATACGAGTAAAAATAAGAAGCGTCCCAAATAAGGCGCAGACTGTCCCGTATAAACGACACATTTCGTCTGAAATAAGATGCGTCTTAGCCAAGTCGCGACTTATCTAAGAACAGGTGTTAACGGTTGTTCTTAGATAACACGCGTCTTAGCTAATCGAGTCTTATTTCAAAAGAAATGTGCCATTTATACGAGTTTGCGTCTTAGACCCTGTTTACATGGAGTGGGGTACCCCGGTCTAGTGGGGTAGGGTTCTTTTGTTTTGTGTCTCCCAGAGCGTGAAAACAAAAGAAACCAACCCCACTAGACCGGGGTCCCCCACTCCATGTAAAAAGGCCCTTAAGGTGGATTCCCACTGTCGCGTAATTTACGTGCGTACGCACGTAAATGAAATAGAGACAACGTATGAAGTGTTGCGTACAGACGTAAGAGTCGAGCGAGTTTCAACTCTTACGTTTACGCGCGACTCTTCACACATTACCTCTTTTGTATTTACGCACATAAATTTTACGCGCGTACGCACGTAAAATTACGCGACAGTGGAAATCCACCCTTATTAAGGACGCGTTTTATACTTCCTCCTAAAAACGGCCCTAATAATGACAAAGCAAAAGTCATTAAAGGAATTGCCATACCTTCTTTTGATATGAGCTGCCTCTCGGAGTCTTTCAGAGTGACAAAGCAGGCGAAAGGTGGGAATGTAGTCACATACTACACCGCAATGGTTACAGTGGTTAACAACGGGGATGCATGAACTCAGGGAACTGTAAAGTTTCCGTCGACTTGCAGTTGAACTAACAAAAGCAAAAACAACTCATTATCAGTTAGTTTGTAATTCTGGATAAAATCTTGGAGCTGCCAAATACTTAAATGCCATTTGGTTTATTATTTTGATTTGTCGCCAAACCAGTTTTAATCATCTTTTTGTGGTCATTAACATTAAAAAAAAAAGAGACAACAACGAAGTCTTTACTACTTTACTTACTGACTAACTAACAATCTACTGAGCTAGCTAGATACAGTCTTGGACAAAAGTCTTAGGACAATACTTTTTAGAAATCACACATGCCTAACCACTCCTCCCAACCCACAAGCAACGTTGGACAGGTTTATCCAGACCTTTCTTTTTTCCGAGTTTCAACATTGTATAAGATGGAGGCAAGGAGAACTGCAAAGCATTTTCCAAAATGAAGCACTGGCACTGTTTCATGAGGGCACCCACAATTCACAGATTATTACGAATTTTGCACCACTGTCTTAAGGACTTTTGTGCTAACATCTTACCTCTTTTGTGCCTGAGTGACTGCATCCAAACACACTGCAGAATTGAAATCACGTGGAGGAAAATCTGATGATAATCTTTCCAAGTCACATAGCACACTTTTGCCTGTGGAGGTTTGATCTCCTGTGATTTCTTCGACGGGAGAATTTCCAGTTTCTGTACGATCTTCAGACAAAGACTTAACTTTGACAAAACAATCATCTAAATTGGCTACTTCCAACGCCCCACGGATAGATGAACGCGTTTCACAAGCCAGCCAGTCGCTTGACTCCTCCACAGTCACGTGTTCGTCTGTAAGTCCACGTTTCAAATGAGCTCCCCACAAGCCAAACCGCGCCGAGTTGGACTGGGTGTTAGAAAGGTTTGGACAATAGGCGTCAGCAAATGACATGCTTTCTGCACACTGTGCAAAGATTTCAAGAGCTTTGCTGGTTAATTTTTCACCTGAAAAGAAAACGGAACGATGAGTTTGACAGTCCATGTTTGACAAAACTAAAAAAGCAAGACTACGAGATCTTTTTCACAGAGCTATTACAATGAAAAGCTGAATGCACCAAACAACGTTTTGGCTCTACTGTATTTCCCCGAATAATAGCCGGGGGAGATTATTTCTTTTTTCGCACAAAAAGGGGGCGATTATTCGAGGGAAGGCGATTATTTCAAATATTGCTCACTGGAAGTCGTGCCCAGAAAGTATTTTGTTTTATTATTCCATTAAATAAAAAAAATATTCACATCAAACTCGGCTAACTGAACGTGGGTTTTTTAAGTGTTCCAAATTTAGTTCCTTGATTAATTTTCACAGCTTCAATCGTCACTTATCAGTTTTGCTGGATCACCTTGCACTTACACTTGACAGGGAGGGGATAAAAGGAAGATAAGATGGTGGGAGGAGCAGAGGGGAGGCGATTATTCGAGGAATGCGATTATTTTAAATATTTCCGTCCGAGGGAGGCGATTAATCGATGGAAGGCTATTATTCGAGGAAATACGGTATATTTACATGTTCAGTTTGACATATACCTTGGGATGGCTTCCGGTGAACAAGTTCACTTCCTGTTTTAACAGCGATGCCTGTCTTCATTTCATGATTTTGACCTTCGCCACTCTCCCCAGTCTCCTCTTTTGTCTGTGACTCACTGAACCCTGTGTCCGTTGAGTCCTGGGAACTCGATGCATTCTTGTTGGCCTCTACTAATCCTTCCTCTAGCCCTTTCTCTATTCCTTCTTTATTCTCAATAATCTTAACGGGAGGCTCCGTGCCATCATCAAAAAGGCTAGTATCTGAAAATATACCCGAAAACATATTCTCGCCCTTGGTTGTAACATCTTTCGCGATATCAGAAGGCGCAGAGTTACTTTCCTTGGCTTCAGACTGGTCAGGCACTTCCTCCTTCTGCTGTGAAACGGATGGATCCACAAAAAAGGGCAGAAGGCCGCCAAGGTTTCCATGGGTAAGGTTAACGCCAAGAACTTGGCTAAAATGCGCCAGGTGTAACTTCTTGGGTATGTTACGGACCTGCCGAAATAATGAACAAACCATTATTTGCCTTGCTTTTAGCTGTATCAGATATCAAGTAACTAAGTAACAAGTCTACAAAGCGATTAGAAAAGAAAAAAGATGTTACCACTATTATTATATACCGAGGAGAAGTATGACGTCACGTCACCATGGTAGCACTATTTATTGATGACAACAACACCAACGACCACGGCGACGAAAGGAGAACGGCAAAAAAGTAATAGGTTTTTATTGCCAAACCATTTTTTCAGGTGCATCACGCTATTTTGTTCACACGCTTGCTTTATAGAGTAGGTGAACACAACACAAAAGTTGTCTTTTTCCTCTTCTAAACTCAGATACGGTCCTTTCGGATTCAACCCGAGGAAATTTCGCCAACATTTGCCAAATTAAATGAAACTGAATAAGATCGATGAAGTTTGAAGCGGTGCCAATTCACTTTATAAGTGACGTTTTCGGTTTGTTGTCATCCAAAAATTTTGTTACCATGGCAACGTGACGTAACGACTTCTCCTCTCTGTTAAGACCTTTTTAGAGAAATACCGCATTTAAGAGCTCATTCTGGCGAATTAGAGGGAGTATTCATCACGGAAAGGAGTTTTTAATTTAATGCAGGACTGGATCTGCATCGATCGTAACAAAGGCGCCTTCAGTTGCTAATAAGCCATTTCCGAGTTCCAAAAACTCTCATAACCTTCAAAACGTAGACTACGAGTAGACCCCCATTTTTCCTCAGGGATAGTAGAGCGTGTGAAACGCGAGCGCGCGTGAAAATCACCCCACTATTTGTCTGTACACACTCTGGGCTTCCAGCATGACCACTGGTTTGAATAGTTTGATACGATTCTTGTCGGAAATGCCCGAGGAGTCATTCAAGTGTGCGGGCCTTTTGTATGGCATCTTGAGCCCCCCATGTGACGCTGACCAGAATTGCAGGTTGAGAAGAGACTTGCGGATATCGCAGTTGTTGTGCGCCACTAGTGACTTGAGGTCTTCTGGATTAATAAACATGTTGTTCAGCAGTCCTACCAGCTGTAAATGAGCTGACAGTAGGTTCACCGAAGGACACTTCACGTTTATCTGATCATACCTCCCATACCTCCCTTCACAGCTTACTTGAGTTTCTGAGAAGTAATGCAGTTTGAAACTCTCAAGAATAATTGTTAAAAGCAAATATACTGTTTCTGAACGAAAAATATTCCTGGAAAAAGCGAAAAAATATCTTGCACATTTGCATAATCAATTGAAGCCAGCCACTAATTAAACGTTTCGTGTTTCGCGCGTGACAACCTTTGCCTCTGGCTTTCACAGTGTCTCAGAATTCAATATTCGTTACTTTAAATAATGCTACCAGCCGTTAGAAAATCTCAATCTTTAATCTCAAAGGGAAATTTTGACTCCAATACTGCAATCCTTTTGAAAATGAAATTCATTCCTAAATTATGAGAGGAAAGCGCTGATCAAAAACATGTCAACAAAAGGAGCCGATTAGTATCGGCTCCTGGCGCTAATTACTATAATGGCTGTCAAACTTCAAATGTTTGGCGGCGAAACATGTCACGTTCACGTGAAAGTAGACCGCGCGGGTCACTGACACAGCAGACAAAAATAACTTTCGCAGCACGTGCGCGAAATTTAAATAGATTTAAAAAAAATTATCATGGGGCACAGGGATTCGCTCTCTTAGCTCATTCTCTCTTGTTCGGATAAAAAGCAAGCAAAACAAAACGGACAAAACAGACAAAAAGCAGCAAAAAACAAGTATTATTTACAAATGGTTAATCAACTAAGAAGAAATGCTTTTAATCTGGATTTAAAAAGAGAGATAGTAGCAGCAAAAACGAACGTAAAGCATTATTTCTCTTTAATTCTCATCTCGTAAGTATATGGTACAAACTGACCCAGACATAATTTAGCCCATTTTTTGAACATGTGTATACTGTTAAGACTTCCTGGCTGCGATGAGACGATTAGTAGTACATTAATAAAAAAACCTTTTTTAATCAATTTGAATCTTTGTTCTACAGATGTATCGATCAAGACTCGGTTAATAAACTTTGTATCACTGATCATAACAGTTTAGCTCCTTTTCTAAAAACCAGACAATTGTGCTATTTTTTTTGCCAATTGCACGGCAGCAACAAGATTGCCAATAACTCCGTCGTTTAATAAAATGAAAATACAGCCCACATATCTAATTGGTTTTCGGCATGATGAAGCATAGCCTGAAATTCATCCGATTGCTTCGAGTCGTTTTCTCCTCTCAACAACGTCTGAATCGACCAGCCGTTAATGCCGTCCAGTGACGTCACTCACTACCCGAAAACCGGGTAGTGATTTTGATTGGTTGATTGTCTAAACATTCGCATAATTATGTATAATTATGAAAAAAATTAGCGGGATTGTCGCTTGATATTCAGCGGATCGCATCCCTGGCATTCTTTCGTTTAGTTCAAACATTTCGATAAGCTTAATCTGTATCTTAAACAGCAACATTGCCCTTGTCTTCGAAACTGAAATGCTAATTTGAACAGCGAATGAAGAGTCATTGCGGAGAATCGGAAGGTTTTCATTTAGAGCCGCTTTGTGGTTTCGGCGTCCGGTAATTTTGTTTACGCGAAGTTTTCTGAGATCAAATGTTATAATTCGACCGTCTTGCTATTTTTACCGTCAAGTGTAATGATTCTGTTAGCTTTTCTCTCTTGTCTCCTTGTTTTTTTTCCTTCGTTAAGGACCAAATAGCTTCTTCTGAATTAAAGCAAATCACTGTGTTTTTGAACTAAGTGTTCCGTGTGTGTGTTTATTTCATTGCGTGATTGCGACCGAGTTTGATTTGATATAGAATTTAGTACAACCGGTTGAGAGTTGTACTGCATGCAGTTGATAGTATGAAAGTTAAACATGAATTACGATCGAAAAAAATAAAGCAGTTCTGTATCATGCAGACATTTCCAAACGATATTTCTCGGTTTGTCATTTGAAAATTGTGTTTTACTTTTTGCATGAATTAAAGCAAAGGTCAAGGAGTGGTGACGTCACTGGACGGCATTAACGGCCGGTCGATTCAGACGTTACTGAGGGAGTAATAACGACTCGAAGTAATCGGATGAAATTCAGGCTAGATGAAGCAATCACATAAGGAAAACAGATGTATTAAAAAAAGGTTCGCTTGAACGTAAATGCTTCGGAGAAAAGTCATGGTAATGACAAACTAGCAAGCAATTAGAGAACTGTATTGTTCTGCAAAATTCACTGGAGAGTCGAGGAGAGGTACATGGCGAGCTAATTTTTCTCTAAGAAAAAAGTGGACAGCTAAATATGATGCAGGTCAATGATGGTGCAAGTTCCATGTTAATATTTTGGGTTCGCTATACTCAATCGAAATGAACGTCACCATGGCGTTTTTAATTTTAAATATTTTACCTTTCATGTAACAGATCCGAATTGGAAGCGCCGGGAGATGATGTGAACGAGGGAAATAAATTTAAAAAGCAATTTAAATGAAGATATAATCTTGACGTAGTGAAATAGCAATTCAAGCAATTACAAATGAACCGCCCCCACATGTTTGGGGATATACTCGGTTAAGACTTCCTCTTCTAAAGAAAATGTGGCCAATTTAGAGCTGGTATCGAATTGAACGTCAGAAAGTTGAAGAAAAACGGCACAAGCAATTTGAAGCTACAAAATACAGAAACACTTTAATATAAGCAACAGGCTCGCCAATATAAGCTCCCCTCCGACTAGCTTGCATTGAAATGAATTTGATTTATTATAGCTTTTACCAGTAACTACAAAACATATTTAAATCAGCACTGCGTTAGCTTGTTTCGAACAGCTTTTTCCATTTCCGTTATAATCCCCTCGGATATAAGCCCCTCCGTTTAATTTATCAAGAGCCCCTCTATGAAACCCTTACGAAGATGTATAATCCCATATCATATGTTTGGCTCACAAACTTAACACCTCCGTTAGCAAAATTTTCTCGTTCTTGCTCTCACTATATGTTTACTGAAACTACTTATTGCTCTCAGCTAATCGTCGAATTCAATTTTTTTTACTTTTATATGATAAAAACAGGTTACATTCTAATTTCCTAAGCTCGAACGAACGTTTTATTTTCTTTAATTCCAACCTCGTAAATGGCCCAGAATTTCGAGCCCATTATTTGAACATTTGTACATTTTTACTGAGACCTCAGTGCCTGCGATGACATTATGAGCGCGTCAGTTTAACTTCTAGCAATTGACGAAAACCGTTTTTTACTCAATTTGAATATATGTTTAACAGAAATATCGATCAAGACTTGGTTAATAGACTTTTAATTACTAACT